GTGCTTCGTTTAGCGCGAGGGCCATTTGCACTGGATCAAGACCCGTAGCGAGGGCACGAGGTACCCCGACTGCACGCCATCTTGATCAGGGTTGACACATATGCACTCCGCCTCCCCGCCGAGGTTATTAACATTTGCACGTCTGTCGGGTGCAACGTCGATCGATACTTGCGTCCTCAGGGCTCATGGGTTTCAGGCTGTCCCGAATAGGGGTTCCCCCTCACAAACGGCCACGCGCTGAAAGGCCATTAAGTTCAGAGTAAGTGCACCCACAAGATACAACGAGGTGACCTACGTCGGGCTCTCGTGCCTCTGAACCGAACTGAGCGAATTGCGACAAACGAGGATAGTTTGCGCCACGTGCATCACAGCGAAACCCCGTGGCCAGCGCGTTCATGCTCAGGCCAGAGAACCCTTTAATCGTTCGGCTGGCCTATTGAATGCCCCCTTGCACTGTGAACAAAATGCTGATCGATCTTAAAGTGTCTTTGTACAGACAAGCCCTTCCACGAGGGGCTGAACGGCGACGCTGGATCAACCTGTACTGGGCGGCAATACTCTGCAACAGATAAATTTCTCTGCCCTCGGTATTCGAATCATAATCTACGCAGATCGAGCTCTCGTTTCGAGGTTTAATTTTGGTAGGCACAGACGATAGCAGAAGATGAGAACACACCGCCAGAGTTTCGATTTCTTTCTTTGTGTCTAAATACTTTTTGGGCTACATCAAGTTAGGTCATGTTTACTGATGGTTTCGAAAACGAGAATCGTCTGATTTGTCTGGCAATCGTGCCACTATTCCTAATAATTCCTTTCGCTATTGTAGTCCCCACTTTGAACAAATCAGTTATCCCTAACATGTCCGTTTTAGACCTCGTAAGCCTAATCAAACTTCCCAGATTAGTTTTTTTCTGTGAGTAACATCTCAGGGTGACATTGTCGCTGGGTGAGACCTAACATGCTCACACCGATTACCCATTTTCACCAGAGCAAAACAGCGATAAATATGGACACCGGGGTTTTCTCGCTTTGCCCATGAGGTAGACCTAGTCTTCTGAATGAACCTAAACAGCAGAACAGAAATTGTTTTAAACTATTGCGCTCCTAGCTTCTCCAGTGTCCTCTGCGCTATTCGAAAGCGTAGGAAGGAATTGATCGCCTAGATGGTCACGTGACCGGCCGGAGACCATTGCAGCCACCTGTTAACGGCAGCACAGCCGAACGAAGTAGCGAGAGAGCCTGTTGGAACTTGTTAATTCCTTCGACCGCGTTGAATGACACTCGAAGGCTCGCCTACGCATCTGTTTTTAGGTAACTTTACAGGTCTGTCGTGAACAAACACGTACAAGCTGGTCGCCAGAGCCCACAGCTAGGCACAGTGCTAATCCTAAAATCCGTGGTCGCCGTGGCTTGCGTGCTGACGACAAAAGCACGTACGGGACCTCTAACAGTGTTCACACCTGCTGTAGGCTCAGAGTATATTTTATAGCGGTGATTAATAATAATTATCCCGATGCGAAACGTTAGTGTAGAGACGTTATATAACATGAAACGGGTTCAGCCCTATGGTTTCACCTGATACTATTAACCGAATTTGAAACAAAATATTCACGAGAGGACTTTTCCTAGGAAATGTTGGGTCCTCTATCAGGGCAGGGGTCGGTCACGATATCCGGCCCCGAGTGTAATCGCAATGCGGGCATCGCAAGTAGAGTAAGCCGAAGGATGATGTCAAAATTGTTAGTGGGAAAGTAGCCAGAGTTAAAACGGAAAAGGACAACCTTATATTTCGGTTTAGAGGTAGGGTTCGTTCTGGAGTTTCGGTTAGTTTCAGGCTGAGAATTGAGTTCACGGCTAGGGTTTGTGTTAAGTTCAAGGGTTCCGGTTAGAGTTGGGGTTTGGGTTGAGGTTTAGGTGTAGTGCTAAGGTTTGGATTAGGGTTACATTTAGGGGCAGGGTTTGGGTTAGAATTTGGGTCAGGGTTAAGGTTAGGGTTTGCGGGAGGTTTAGGGTTAGGTTTGGCGTTAAGTTTAGGGTTAGCATCAAAGTTATAATGAAGTTAAAGAATGGGTTTACTTTTGAGTTTACGGTTAGCTTTACTGTTAGGTTTGGAGTATTGCTGTCCCACGTGTCCTGTCAGCCAGGTCTTTTTGCGGGGATTCTAGGCTTCCTTCAGTCTCGCGACAGATTTGTCAAACATCAGGTTTATTTTTCCGTTTCAGCTTCAGTTACATTTTCTACTAACGTTCTCAGTAACCTCCTTCGGCTTACTTTACTTTGTGGGGACTCTAGGCTTCCTTCAGTCTCGCGACAGATTTGTCATATGTACATCAGGTTGCCTTTTCCGTTACAGCCTCGGCTACTTTCCCCATTACCGATTTCGACATCCCCTTTCGACCTACTTTAATTTCAATTCCAACATTGCGCTTAAACTTGAGACCTGGGCAGCGTAATAAACCCTCGCCTGTTTTACTAATCCAGGCTTCCGAGTAGGAGTAGAACAGTATTACCCACCTCCAACGCCACTACTCTCCAAAAGTCTTCTTATTTATTATAATCGCTGCTGAGACATGAACACTTTTCTTGGCTGGCTACGAGTTCGAGCATGCATTATCCAGCCGATCCAGGTTTCACGAGGTGCCTGCCGAATGTTTTGTATTGTTTTCCTTTAACGTTGACAAAACTCCCTTGGCGACATCTCACGATTGCAATGCACTATAAAAGTATTGGCGCGTGTAGTTTTCAGGACTATGGTTGCTCGAAAGGCCAGTCAATGTATTCAGACCAGATTCTCACGTAAAAAAAACAACGACTCGAACGATGGTCCACGACATGCTAATGAAAGAAAAAGGAACAGATTTCGGTTGAACGTCGCCTCTTGTAAGCTGTTTGGTCAGCATGCTTGCTCGACCAAACTCCTACGCTTTGTCTAGCTCGAGCCCATCAACGTGGTTTAAGGCGCCTAATGCGTCAGCTACCACACGGTCGACAAACAAGTCTGAAGGGCCCTCACCACTGAAGCGGGATGCGTCCCCTATAGAAGTCCTTTTAATTACTTCCTCTGATAAGAGATAAGTTAGTTGGGAAATCTAGACTGAAGGCGCTTTCTCAGCGTGTGTCGTAGCCAGCCTGTTCTGTCTAATTGGAACAACCCAGGCGAAAGCGAATCCCCCAGGGACAGGGAGGGGGCTGGTGTGTTGGTCTGATCGATCAAACGGCAACGGTCTTCGGCCTGCGTTTCCCGTGCCCAGCACGAGCCTCGTTAGGGGGAGGGGAGTTGCTCGCAGCTGCGCCAACAGCTGCGCTGTGCGTGCCCTTAACTCCCCTTCCTGCCCAAGTTGCGTTGTGAGGACAACTCATTTGCCCGGGTAGTACATACGCACCCGGGCTAGTCGACACCTGCGCCAGACAGCATGCGCGATGCGTCGCCTACTTCCCCTCTCCTCCACCCCCGCTACCCCATAGCCTGCCGGCGGTCGATGTTACCACGTGCCCAGTCGGGAGGCCTTGGAGGGGGGGGGGAGGGGAGGGGGGAAGCGGGCGAATGAGGTTAACGGCGCATGGAATATGGGCGTGGGCCCAAAAGCTGTTATTGGTGGCCTTCCCGCAGCGGACGGTGATTCATCCGCCCCAGCAATGAGGCCTCGCCGGTGGAAGCGGTCTTTTGGGAATCGCTTCCGGAGGAGGAGGAGCAGGCAGACGGCTGACTCACAGCAGCAGCGTCAGTCTGAGAACAACGGGTGTTTGAGTGAGTTGTCACGTGATGGATGATGCACGCCTATGTGGGTGAGATTTGTCCAGGGGCTGCGACTACAAGTGCTGAGTCAGATACTCGCGTGGTAGCGGTAGAGTAGAAGAAACTGCCGTTCGGCAGGTACGATCGTACTCCAGCTTCATCGGTTTTGCGAGTATAACTAATACCAATGATGACGATGGGGAGGGAGACGAGGGGTGAGGTCAGAAAGTGAGGGAGAGAGAACAGACTTTATTTATTGAACAAAATTCCCATTTTTTCGTAAAAAAACGTTCTCTCTTCCACATGGCCATGGAACGAATGGCAAAGTGCCAGGGAAAGTAATTCTGGCACAACGATGTGTAAATGTTTTATCGGTAATTATATTTTCGGCTTCTGTATTTCAGTATTATAACGAGTCAGAGGTCGTGAGAGACATGGTAACGTTGATTGCTGACACGATGACTTACAGCAGAGAAAAGCCGGAAGACACCGAGAACTGGACGGAATGAACTTACGCGTGTTTCACCGAGATTCTGCCGCTGCATGACACCTCTGCGAGGGGTTCGACTCATCAGTGGGTTCCTCAGCATTATCGGTCTGCTTTCTGGTGGATGCTCCAATTTAGAAATTGTTGTTTCTTAATTTCCTCACAACAGCGAGAGCAACGACATCTAAGACACACCACAAGGTTTTATATGCAAATTTTAGGCTATCCGAGAACGGGGTGAAAAATGGCACAGCAGTTTCCAGGGCAACACGTTCTGACAGTACGCCAAGGACTTGGCATTTTAAATTCACCGAAATTCTGATTAATGGAATGCATTAAACCTGACGCTGCTGGACCAAGGACCCCTAGAAAATGCCTCCCAACTACAACTACCGACATTGGGCAGATGACGCTTGCTGATGCTGCTGCTGATGATGATGATGATGACGATGATGATGATGATGATGGTGGTGGTGGTGGTGATGGTGATGATGATGATGATGGTGGTGGTGGTGATGATGATGATGATGATGATGATGCTGCTGCTGCTGCTGCTGCTGCTGCTGCTGCTGCTGCTGCTGCTGCTGATGATGATGATGATGATGATGATGATGATGATGATGATGATGATGATGATGATGATGATGATGATGATGATGATGATGATGATGAGAATAATAATAATAATAATTGTGATGGCGATGAAAAGGCAGCCAAAGAATACTAGCGTGATTGGTAGGGAAATTAGAATTGGGTTTTAGGAATCAAAGTTTCATCACGTGAGTCGGTGTTATTAGTTGGTCAATGAGGCGTCTAAGAGCCTTCCAGATACCAGCAGAAGAATGTTAAAATGAGGATGTGGAAGAGGAAACTGACTGATACAGGACATTCAATTTGACAATGTTCTTTGTTAATCGGTCGCTGACTTACTTCCAACTGATGTGTTAACCTAATTTGTAGAGGAATTCCTTTCGATCCCGTAACCACTTCATGAGGACAATAATGAGCAAAAGTCACATTTAAACCGTCATAAAAGGAATGGGAATTTGAAGGGCTAGGAATGGTTGGGGTCATAATAGCGACGGGGTTCTGTCGGAGACGAGCGTTTTTGGGGTGGAAGCATTAGCTCACGTACATTCCGGACAAATATGGTAAACAACGCCTGCATTGAATCGAAGTAAATTCTCGAAGAAACATAATAAGACCAACTGATTTGAGCCAGACAGTTGAACTCCATTAGTGATACGAAAAGTCAAGGGCAGCTAATTAGAACTTGGTCAAGCGAAGGATCAGCATACGTATTTAGGGGAATAAGGTCGCCAAAACCTAAGTGAATCAGGGGTGAAGGCACAGACGGTCAAAATCTGCGCATAAAAGTAGGCCGTTCACAGAAAATCGACTACAACCTACAGTACAACCTTAAGTGTAGGAAGGGAGGGGAGGAGGAGGAGGAGGAGGAGGAGGGGGAGGAGGAGGAGAAGAAGGAGGAGGAGGAGGAGGAGGAGGAGGAGGAGGATGAGTGATGCATCTTCGTGGGACCAAGCACTTCCATTTTACGTCTTTAATTCCTTCTGCGGTTCAACACAAGCGGATGAAAATTTACGAAGCTCCACTAGCCCGAATTCGAATCCTGTAAACAGTGCTCACCCAGTCACACCTAAGGAGATTGGTCGGTTGATTTAGAATAAATTTATGTTAACAAAGGGTATAATTGAACAAAGAGGAATAAGGGGGAAGAAGAGGAAGGAGGAGGAGAAGAAGGAGGAGGAAGGGAGGAGGAGGGGGGAGGAAGGGGGAGGGGGAGGGTACGCTAAAGACGGACGAGAACTAAAGAGGAGAAACTGAGGACGAGCGGGTACACGGGAAGGGAAAGTGGAAGGAAAAGAGATAGAAGCCAAAGAGGTCGTTGAAAAGTGATTTCTAGTTAGAATTTATATAGCCTTCTTATCATTTTTCATTTTCTCCGTCGTAGCAACCTTCTAACCGCAGCCTCCTCAGCGAAAAGCCAGGCTTACTGCAAGGTTGTTTGACCCAAAGTCCCATTCTTGGTAGGACTTCATGCAGTGTCAACATGCTATCGATGAATCCACATCCTTCACCGCGGCTCTGACGCAGTCGTGCACTTCAGATCCAGTCGTTGCTAACACCAGCACTCCCACCCATCCGGCATTGATCTTGATGATCACTCAAATGCTCTCCCGGCCTCTCAGACTGGTGTGTGAATCTCCTCTCTGCAAATTTGCGGACCGAAAATCTACTCGGAATTAACGGGTACATCGATGTAACTATGAGGCGACCAGTCGGATGGAGCGGCAAGCGCATAAACTCGCACCGCTGGCTTACCATAATCTGCTGGCTGTTGTCCCCAGACCAGAATGCCACCGGGGCTGGGAACGGGGGCAGCTGTTGACGAGAGACCGCACCAGCGATCGTGCCTGAGATAGCGAAGCCTCTGAGTGTGCGTGCGGACGTGCAATCAAAACCGTTAATCTTACCCACGTGGATGGGATTTCATTTCAGGAGTCGAGTTACATACATGTAGGCGTAGGCTCCCTCTCCCACAGGGGGGGGATGTCAACAGTTGACGAGTAGTGCCTCTTGCTGCTTGATGTGGGCGCACGAAGGTGAGGCTGGCTGGCGTCATGTCATTCGAATGCCAGAGAGGGATTCTTTAAGATCATATCCACCCGTTCCTACCAGAAAGTTGTTGTGTTACCCAAATAATACACTTTATATCTTATCGTCTTTTTTTTCCGGGAATAGTATACCAGGGCTGATGTGAGGTAGTAGGCGCGGAATTCCCTCGACGTCCTGCTACCGCATGCACCAGGAAAGTATACAACAGAGGCCATGAGAGGAAGCCCCACCCGTTTGCCGACAGCACCGCCTACGTAATCCCTTCTAACCAAAATCTTACTTTAGAATTTCCGTTAGTACCTCTCGAGTTAGTTGCCTCTTGTGTCAGATACTTAACAAAACATATAACCGGAGGCTAGCAGAGTGCAAGTCCGAAACGCTAGGCAGATAAGGCTCTTGTCCTTGCCATCCCAGCAAGCCCATACACAGGTCTAACCTACTAAACTGCTCGTGTGCGGTACTAGGATGTCAGTCGTAGGAGCCCTCTGCCCTCCAAACCAACTCTATAAATAATTACTACTATGCATTATTAAGTAGCACGTCTTAAGCTCACTTCACGAGCACCAACCGGCTCATGGTTGTGCCTAAACCTTAAGAGTAAAAAGTGGACTTAGAAAAGGCGAATGTCCAAGTCCTGTGTATTTTTGCCATAAGTAAGGTGGAAGATTTCATACATAAGGCCGCTAGGCCAGGAGCTAGGGTTTATTGAGAAGTTTCTACAGACTCCGAAGTGGAAGGCTTATGTGACACACAGGATGCGAAAAGAGCACAACAAGAAGACAGGACAG